GGCTGCTAAGTGCAAAAATAGGCTGAAACTGTAAGCAGCTGCAATGATAGATGTCTCGCAATAACCCTGGCTGTTGCTGACAGCAGGGAGACTCAGTGAAATTAAGCTGAGAGGCCAGTTGGCAAGCCTGACATTGTCCATTGCTTAATAATGGTGTAGCAACTCTGTTTCAGTTAGTAATGGTTCACTCTGCATTAAACTGCTGCATACAAGAGGCAGGGACAGAGTTCCATGACATTGCTCCACAGGCAGAGAGTGTTATATGAGGAACTTTGTAACTGGTACTCTGTGTACCGTTTCCAAACATCGAGGTACAGCTGCAACAGCTCTTGCATTTCCAGCGTAAACATTAAAATCTGCCTTAACAATTCATGTGACCTGTTTTGTAGGGAGCAGACAGCTGGATGCTTCAGGGAATGGATCCTGGCATTGAATTCTAATGAGGAGCAACTAGGTTTTGGACCACACCAATATTTATCCATTGCATTTTAAAAGCTAATATGGATTCTGTTTTCCATCATTTGTTGGTTGAAGGACGCTCAAAAACATGTCAATTTTTTCTCTACAACTTTCTGAACATCATGATGAATTTGATTGATAGTTTTTTTAAAAACACAGGAGTTACCAATAGTAAGAAACGGGGCCAAATTTTGTTGAAAGTTGCAATCCTTTATAAGCTTAACAATTCTCTTTTGCTGCTTATCTGGCACAGTATAGATCAAATGTACACCACATGTTTTTACATAGTCTTGGTTGAAAACACCAGATAACACGCAATAGGCCAGTCCTTCTGTAGTCAGTCAGAATGGTTTAAATATGGTTCTAAACAAACCAGTTACTGGTTTTCTGATGTCAGCTCATTAGAATATTTCTAAGTAAAGCTTTGGACACATTCAGGAGCCATATTATTTATGGGAATTCAAAATTGTCTGAAAAAATAGGGAGCAGATGAGTTTCTAAACTCCATAGACGCCATACAGTGTGGAAACAGGCCATTCGGCCCAACGAGTCTCAAACCAACTCTCCAAAGAGTATCCTACCCAGATTCACCCCCTACCCTATTCCTGTAACCCTGCATTCCCCATGACTAACGCCCTAGCCTACATATCCCTGGACACTATGGGCAATTTCACACAGTCCAATCCACTTAACTAACACATCTTTGGATTGTGGGAGGAAACCGGAGCACCCAGCAGAAACCCACGCAGACACAGGGAGAATGTGCAAACTCCACACAGACAGTCACCCGAAGCTGGAATTGAACCCAGGTCCCTGGTGCTCTGCTAACCACCGAACTTATTGAGTATTGTCTAAGACTGAAACAGAAGATGGTTGAATGTTTTCTATTATTTTTCCACAGTTGGAAGCGTGGTGACTAACATGCCACCCCCATTGGTGCAGGAGCTTGCCCAATCACCAGCCAATCAGCTCATCAGAGTTGACAGGCGAGTGAAGAGCAAAAGTCAAAAGTCTTGACTGGAGTTGTTAGCAGCTGCCAGTCAATTGGAAACAAGGGCAGGCGAGTATCTTTCAGAGGTCACCAAATACCCCCAGATTGGGGTAATTGGATACTGTGCCATGCAACACAGTAGGCAGTTCATTATTGTTTCCAAGTTAAAAAACTAACCACCTTCCTAACCTGCCTGGGAGATGGATTATTGGGAAGGTGGTAAGTTGAGGCCCTTAAACTGATATTGTTTGAGCACTTAATGCCTTAATTGATAACAATTTGAGAAAGTCTCCACTGAACATCTTTTGCCCAGCTGAGGTGGCAAGAAAGGGGTGAATTTCCCTCCAAGGCCACTTGTCCAAAATTTTCCATCTCACTACCTGTCTTCCCACCTCCGTGGCTGGGGGACTTGTACAGACACAACCTACGGCATAGAAACAAGCCATTCAGCCAATGTTTATGCCCCACCAGAGTATCCTCCCACTCTGTTTATCTTGTCTCATTCCAACAGCATGTAAATGTGATAAGAGGATTAAGAAATGATGGGCAGAAACCTAGTGCAGACAACTCATAATCTAACCCTGTCTGATGACTGCTAAGATGATGCTGTATAATGTTGTGAGGAAGTTGGCCTTTTGGCCATTGCTAGCCACCATCACCATTGCTTAACATTAGCAGCATGGGTGGGAGGAGATGAAGATAGGTTAAAAACACTCACAGACTGTTATTGTTATAAGTTGTGCTTGTTATGGCTGTCTACTGATTGCGCCATGTACTATAATTCTCCATGGCTATGCTGGTTCAGTGTCTCAAGATATGCATTTACAATTAGCAGTATCTTGACAGATGCAACTAATGAAGTTGTGCTGGCTGTCAATCATCCTAGCACTCCTTTCTCTTACAGTACTCTGACAGCATGATAGGGGTGATTTTAGGCAATATTTCAACATCAACACATTGTTGCCTGACTTTAGAGGATGAGATACCATTATTGTTTAAAGGGAATAAGTGCATCATCTAATCATCTGCTATGGTGAGATGCATTTGCCTTTGTTCTCGGATGTGGCTGATAAACACCTGTGGATGAGAACAGAGTACCTCTGATATGATCTAATTCCTCCACATACTCTTTTTCCAAATACTCCAATTCGGGACCAGTGGTTGGGGGTTGGTGGGATAGATGGGTTGATATTAATGTTATACTGATGAAGGTGTTGGTACCAGTATGGAGCTGGAAGCTTATTATTTAGAACAATTGGAACTGTTGTTGTCTCGTGATCAGGAATGGCAGCATTATCACTGCCAGACAGAGAAAAAAAAAACCGCTGTAGCCAATGCATCAAATTGGAAAATTTCTTGATATACGTAGAGCCTTGATATTCAAATCATGAATCTGGGATGAGAGGCTGTTTACCCTATGAACTCCCACTGTAGTTGGTGTTTTATTTATCAGTACCATGCTTTGCTACTACTGTTGACTCCAAGTGCTGCAGTGTCTTGATTTAAAACTCTCATCTTTGTTTTCTAATCCTTTCACAGACTTTGTCCTCCTTGCATCCATAATCTCCTCCAATCTTGCAACTCTTCAAGATTTTTGTGCTCCTTCAATTTAACCCCTCCTGCACATCCACAATTGAAATTGTTCAGAAGCGGTTGTCCTTCTTTAACCTTTAGATCTTAAACTCTGGAATTCCTTCCCTGAACCTCACTGCCTTTCTCCCCTCCTTTAAGACATTCCTTAAACGCCCCTCTGACCAAGTTTTTGATCATATGTCTAATCTCCTGGTGTGGCTAGGTGTCAAATTTTGTTTGATTACTAAACTGTGAAGCACTTTAGAATATTTTATGCTAAAGGCAGTGAAAAATTTTAAGCTAAAATGCAAGTTGTTGTTGCATGTTTTTATTCATTCTTGGAGGGTAGACATTGCTGGTTTGCTAGAAATGATTATCGATCTCCCAGCAAAATGTGTGAATCTATACAACTGAGTTACTTTAAAGAATAGTTAGTGTAACCATGTTGACTATGTGCATGTACCTAGGCATATTGGAGAAAAATTATAGTTGTAATTATAGTTTAGTAGCTTAAATTTCCAGATTGCAAATTGCATTCTATTGAGTAAGACAAGTAACGCATTTTGTGAATCCCCAAAGCTTGCCCATCATTGACAAGAAAAAAGTCAGGAGTGAGATAGAATAATCCCCACTTACCTGGATGGGTGCAGCTCCAGCCACACTTGAGAACCTTGACAGCATCCAGCAACCCGCTTGATAGGTACCATATCCACAAGCTCCACTCTCTCCACCACCAACACTTAGTGCACGCTGCTGCTACTATCTGTAAGATGCACCATAGAAATTCACCAAAGATTCTTAGACAGCATCTTCTGAACCCACAACCACTTCCAACTGGAACAGCAAAGGCAGCAGATACAAGGGAATGCCACCACCTGCAAATTCCCCTCCAAGCCACTCACCACACTGACTTGGAAATATATTGCCATTCCTTCAGTGTGACCATACTAAAATCCTGAAGCTCCCTCCCTACAGCACATGGACTGCAGTGGATAAAGAAGGCAGCTCACCACCACCTTCTCCAGAGCAGCTAGAGATGGTAATGAATGCTGGTCAGCCAGTACGGCCTTATCCAATGAATTTAAAAATGCTGCTGGACCTGCTGAGATTTTCCAGCATTCTCTGTGTTTGTTTTAGATTTCTAGCATCTACAGAGTATTGCTTTCATGTGAATGTAAATAAGGAACTGGTTAGGTGATGCAGTTGGAGGATTGCTGTGTTTTGTTTTTACACAGCAATTAAAATTTACAATTTTATTATAAATTGTAAGTGATTATATTTTGAAAAGGAAAAGAAAAATCAGCATTTTGAAGAAACAACAGGGTAGTGGAATAATTGAATTTTTTTCGAAGATGTAGCCCAGGCATGATGGGCCAAATGGCCACCACCTGTGCTTGAGAATTATACAAATCTATGATATAAAATTGGAAAATGCAGTTTAAAAAAAGCTACTTCTCTTAAATGAGAGTGAAAAGTATCTGAAGGTATGGTTACACACAATACTTTTATATTTTCAAGTTTACAATTATATCTTTTATTTATATGATACTTTTGACATAAATGTCCCAAGACATTTCACAGGAGGAATATAAAACCAATTATGACACAGGATTACACAATGAGATACTAGGTGAGCTGACCAAAAACTAGGTCATGCAGGTAAGTTTTCAGGAGTGTCTTAAAGCTGGAAAGTGAGGTGGAGAGATATAGGGAGGAATTCCAGAGCCATATGACTAAAGGCACAGCTACTGATGATAGGCCAGACTTAGAAGAGCACAAGTCTTTGGAAGGTGGTTGGGTTTCAGTGATTACACTGAGACAAGACCTTGTGGAGCTATTTAAAACAAGGACGAATTTTTTTTTACAATGAACATGTTGCTTGATCAGAAATCAGTGTTGGTCATCAAGAACACTGGTGATAGTAGGTTTATGGCAACCAATAGTTCGGCATAATCGTGGTTAACCTAAATAATATTTAGCTGAAATTATTAGTGATTTGGTCACTTGCTATCAATACTTCTCTTTTTCTGACTCTTTTCCCTTTTCCATTTTTTAACAGATTAACAACGTTAAAAGCAATGATTTACTTACCATATCGATTTCTTAATTCATTTGGCAAAGTCAGTATTTTTAATCCCTTCTTCATTTAGCTTCTTTAGAATCCTGACTAATGGCTACAGATAGTGGCCTTGTGGCTTTTCTGATCTTGCAGCTTTCGCTTATAGGTTAAGAGTTGCCCCCTTTATTTGAATGTTGGCAATGTTTTGCCCTTTGACCTGTCTGCTGTGGCTGATTTGGTGCTGCTATGGCTGCTTACAAGTTTATTTGCATGAGTTGGCAATAGTCTTCGAAAAGAACACATTACACGTTTGCCTCAGATTTTATTTTATTTTTAACATTATTTTTCCAGGAATGTTTCCCTGTCCCTCCCTTTTATAAAGTGTAGAATTAGATTTAATCCCAAATGTTCCATTTTAATAGCTGCTAATTGCTTTGTTCTGATTTCCTTCCATATAGGTGTCCTTTTTAGTATTGAAGTAACATCAACATTTTTTGCTGTCAGAAATTACTGGCGTGGTTTCTTTGCTGCTACCTTCAGTGCCTTTATTTTCCGAGTTCTGGCTGTGTGGAACAAAGATGAAGGTATCTTAACATAGCAAATAGATTATGAAAATATAATAATGTCCAATGCTAAAGAGATTTTGTACCATCTGTCCGTGAATATTTTGATCTCTAAGATATGAACTTCGATCCATCTTTTGCAGAAACCATCACTGCCTTGTTTAAAACTCGATTTCGTCTAGATTTTCCATTTGATCTTCAAGAACTGCCAGCTTTTGCAGTCATTGGGTATGTTTTTGTAACTCAAGCTGATATTGTGGTTAAAAGTGATCATATAATTATTGTATGATTTATATAAATGCAAGAGGTCATTAAAATGATTCATTGTAACTGTACAGGCTAGCATCCAGGCCTCTTCGCAATGGAACTCCCATGCATGACATTTTCCTGCTGGTACTGATCAATTAACTTGCAGTAGTGAGTTACATTGTCTGATTGCAGCTCTTTCATATCAAGACAAACAGAAGCTTTAGACATGTGCTCTCAAAGTCAAAACTGCTGAATTCATGGTGGTTTGACCTCAGTGGTTTTATAAATCAATACTACTTTGGTGTGATATTTAAACTATAATGTACTTTTTCCTAAAGTCTCACAGACTAGAAGGATTGAAATGCAGGCATGTCTCATAAAATCAGTCATTGGGAGGGGGTGGGGGTGGATTCATCTTATTGCTTTCAAATCGATGTGCAATAAATGTGCATTTATCCTTGAAACATGGTGTTTTGAAAATATTTGAAAAAGAATTCTGAAATGTAAAGAAACAAACCTCCTAAAATTATGGCCGGCATGGCATCCATACTAACAAAGGACCTTTATTGTGAGTTTTCCGGATCGAAACCAGGACAGAGCTTCCACCAGTGCATTTTTAAAATTTGAGTTGTCCTCAAATGGAAATCGAAATTTTAAAAAGAACAATTTGAGATCTGAGAAACATATTGAAAATCTTATTTGGGAAAATTGAGAATCTTGTGTATATTGTGGAATGAACATAACGTAAAATCCATTTTATAGTGAGAAAGCTTTCTCTTTAAATTAGAGATATTGACAGAATATTAGCATATCTTTGCAAAATTAGAATGATTAGCATGCAGGATTCTAATGCATCAAATTCCCGTTTTCATTATTCTGGTCATCAGATGAGCCTCAAGAGCAGCTTACAACTGGAATATCAATTAGTGTGACATTGCTGCTTCTTCATTGATGAGGATTCCTGAACGATGATGGATAAGGCTCCTCTGTTCTTTATCTGTGCCATTTTGTGTGTCTATACATCAAGGTATGAGAGGAGGGTGGTGTATAGTCCTCACCATTGAATAGATCTCTATTGCTTAGGTTGACAAATGGTTATTTGGACATCTGTGAAACTGTACTACAATGTTGCTGGTACTTGGGAAAGAGGAGAACAGGAGTGCTGGTGATTACAGTGTATAGATTTACACCGTTTGCACGTAGTCGTGTAATCACTTTTTAATGTACATATATAGCAGAATTTGTTTGTTTTTTTTCAGTCCCTCTCCGAAGTGCTGACAGCCACCAGAATCATTGCTTTCTACTTAGAAAAGTATTTTTTGTTTCTCAATCAACTCTTCAAGCAAGACCATGAAAGCCATGCAATTTGATTTAAAAATAAATGTCCGTTGTCCTTGGTACAATATGCAATGTGTCCCTCAATAATAGCCTGTATATTCCCACAATGCTACAGTAAAGCCAGCATATCTCCAGGTATCAAATGGATATTTTGTTCTGTTCATTTGTCAAGGGTGGCCACAATAGGCATGGATTCAGAAATAGTAGATTCAGTGTTTTGGTGCTCAGAAAGCTGTGCTGATATTTTGGAGCTCAAAGCTTGAACTGAACCCTCCTCCTAACTTCTCACAGCTAAAAATTCATTCAGTAGCGGGAAAGACACGATGACCAGTGCTGCTTAAAAGCATCACCAACTGCATACAGATGTTAAATAAAAACCGAAAGAACGCAAGCTGGAGGAACAACACCTCATTTTCCGCTTGGGGACCCTACAGCCCTCCGGACTCAATATTGAGTTCAATAATTTTAGGGCCTAAACTCTCCCATGTCCCAGCCCCCTATCCCACACACCAGGCCTTGTTACCACATAGCCTGCCATTACACACCCCCTGTTGTTAGTCACTAACAGTCCCCATTAACAACTATTCACCCTCCCAGCCTGATCGTTGGCAACTCCTTTGTCTGTCCAACTGTCTTTCTCTCTCTTTGGGTTCTATCCTATTGTTTACTCCCTACCCCACCTGTATATTCTGTATATAAACTGACGTTTTCCCAGCCACCATCAGTTCTGAGGAAGGGTCACCGGACCCGAAACGTTAACTCTGTTTTCTCCATCACAGATGCTGCCAGATCTGCTGAGCTTTTCCAGCAACTTTGTTTTTGTTCCTGCATATAGATGTTAGTTGATTTTTTTTCTGGTGTTACTTCAGTTTTGCAAATATTTTGTGTTATTATAGCTGTTTTTGAATTATAAAAGACTGCAGGAAATAGTATGGAAGGTGCTGATGGAGATTTTGATGATTTCATGTCTTCTGCTTGAACCAGTCGCTCCAAGAGGCAAGTGTTCAATAACATTTCCTCCTGGAATGCAGCATAAAGTAATTGCTGCATAGAAGCACATAGAGCAGGACAAGGTGCTGAAAGATGGAGGAGAAAGAGGATTGTCAGCAGAAGTTCTTATCTCTATAAGCTTTTCAGGGAGCAATGTTCCTAATTGAGGTGAAATGTGTGTGGTGTCTGTGCCTCAGGAAAAACATTTTTAATTGAGTTCTTCCACTTTCTGTAGCCACAGCCACAATGTCAGAACTGGGCAAGACCTGTTTGCCAGTGTCTATGAAGGTTATTGCCATCATGAAGAATTGTATGTCTGGCTCTTCCAGATAGTTGCACCATTTTGATATTTGCCATCCACTGTTGCATAAAGGTGGGGGCGGTGTCCACTGAGACGCTCTATTGACTGACAGCTAACTGCATCTCATTCTCTCTTGCCAGATGGAGCAGATACTTAGTGTTACTAGTGTTGCTGGCTTTCTCATGGTGGAGAGTGCCATTGAGTGCAGACACATGACTTTGCTGCATCTTGTTAACTTCCACTCCCTTAGTATCAAACAGGTGTGTGAACACCAACAAAGAGTCAAAGTTTTCCAAGAAGCTCAGGAAACAGGTGATCTATGTAGCTCTAGCAGAAACAAGCCATGTTTTGAGAGAGAAACCGAATGAAATGTTCATTGGATACCTGAGTCATCAGTGACAGAGTGGGAAATCATTAGAGCAGAAGAAAGCAAACTAGTGATCAATTATGGGAGACACTGATGATAAGCAAGGGAGTAGAGTGTAGCTGGAGGAGACATTAATGGGTTTGTGAGACTTTGATAGAACCTGAAAGAAAATGTGAGACAGTCAGTAATACTGCATTGACAATACCGTTTTTAAATAGCTCCTCAAATTTTTATTGTGATAATATGTATGAAATGAGAGATAGTGAGTGCTGGGCTTGATAGGCTGAATGGCCTATTCGTACCTCTGTTTTCAGACTGTCAGCATTGTCAGTGCAAAAGAAAGCTCTACCTCGGCAATAAGCAACAGCAAACACTACCCCTCCCAAATCAGCTATTTTAATAGAATAATACTATTTTAAATTTCCTGTTGCTTGGAGTTTTGGTTATTTAATTCTAGCATAGATATGTTTATGTCTCTTGAACTCCTGATCCAGCATTACTGATCATATATGAGAATCTAGTTTTATTTAATGCTCAGGTTAGGCAAAAATATTCTTGTTCACTGAGAATCAATGTCAGTTTTTATAGGTATTCAATTATTTACTCCAATATCATGTTTTCTATTATGCAAATAAAGTCAATCATAAAAGCATAACAATAGATTTATTATGAAAAATATTTTATTCAAATCAGAAAGCCTGTAAACAAAGCTGCATAGATGTCACAGTAGATTGATATGATCCTGTTAGGATTTTTAAAGGTGAGCAGGAAGTCTGAACACTCAAATTGACAAACAAAGCCATACTGCAAGACTTCCATTCTGACAAAGGGTCTCTCGACCTGAAATGTTAACTCTGATTTCTATCCACAGATACTGCCAGACCTGCTGAGCTTTTTCAGCAATTTCTGTTTTTGTTTCTGCAAGATTTCCTGTTGCTTAACAAAACAAACTTTTTTATTGGATATGTAAAGAGAAATGAAAATAACGCAAGCACTATTAACACAAAAGGTTATAAAGGCTTGCATTATAAACTCAGTTCTATTTTTTGCTCCCCACCTAACACCTCTGTCCTCTTCCCCCACTCCCAAGCATTCTCTTATCTTACAACATCTAGAAGGTTCATCACTTGTCCTGAGAACAATCCAATTTACTTAATTCTTCTTAGTATATGGGGATCATTTTAGTTTTTTGGGCCAAGTGATCCTCCAATTTTCTTGAAAGACCTGTTGCGACCACTGGGGTAATACATTAGAAGTAAAGCCCCACTATTCGTATAGTTGTCACAAATGTAAAAAGATTTAGTCAAATTATCCAAAGTTCACAATCTACCAGACTGATGATCTCAAGTTAAAAGAAAACACCCACCAGATTTCTGTATTTGATATGAAAATAACTTTGTTATGAACAAATTCTCTTTAACCAATAGCAACTAGGAAATATGAATTGCTAAATTATCGTTTAACAACTTAAAACTCCATCCCTTCTTAAATTCCCCCTTCACAAACAGATGAACACACAAAGACAGACAAAATAAAGATAATAAGGGGAGATAAATTAAAAAAAAATCAGACCCTGCTCGAAAGCACCAGCCTGCAGCCCAGGATTCGATTAGTTTCTGTCAGCTTGTTACAAAGCCTTTTAGTTCTTTGCTGTTACCACAAGGTTATTTGCATTCTGATGCTATCTCTCATTCACTGGTTGAGAATTTGTCACTGACTTTAGAGGTGTTTCATTCCTCATTCAACAGGGGATTTGCAGAGAAGAGTGAGTTGAAGATAGCTAGCTATTACTATAGACTTACTAGTACCTACACACGCACGCACACATGCGGACACACGCACCTTTCTTGATGCATTCTCTTTGTAGGCCGAGTGGTTTTCCACTTTACTGCTCCCACATAAGCTGTGGTTGCTTGTTTAGGAGTGAATCAGAACATGGTTATCAAGCAGTTTCCCTTTAATTCAGAACCCGTCAGCTCCATG